AGGAACGACTGCAGGGTGAGGTCTTCTCAATGTACAGTGTGTACAGAAATTCAGTGGTGGTTCATGTTCCATGCACCAAATTGTAGAAGACATTGCTTGGTAACTGAAATTCTATGGTTCAGTTACAGCAAGACCTTTGGCCTCTCATTTACATTTGGGCAAAAACACCCTCCAGTCCATTCTAAGACATGTGGCCTGCATGTGAAAACAAGAACTGCTCTATCAAGGAAACCAAAACTCCACACTAATGAAAAGACCACCCCAAAACCACAAGTGTATGCATGATAACTCAGAAGTTAGTTGTGTCCAGTGGGACTTGCTCCCTGGGATTGTAATCTGTGGATAATCTTATAACTAGGCAGTGCCTTTCTGTGAATCTAGCCTTATGCTATTCAGAATTCAGCATTGCTTTGGCAAATTTCAGAACAATAAAAATAATATTAGCATTGATTTTGTACATCATATTTAATAAGCCACAAAGATTTCTTTCTTTCTTTCCTTCCTATGCTATATCGGAGGGAAATCATATCTATGAAGAGTGATAATGAACGTATCGTTGTACATGAAATAGCATTTGTCAGACAAGAAATATGAGATATAACAAAGAATCTAATGCTAGCAGCATATTTTCAGGCTTCTAGGTATGAATTGCCAGCAAATAGTTCAGCAGTGCAATTTTGTCTTATTTTTGCCAGGCTATAATATGACTGCATCCATTTTTTCATTTTTTTTTCATTTTTTGCTGTTGTTTACTCTGAGACCTCTATTGACTCAAATGAGCCATTTTTTATTCCTTTGTAGACATAACGGTGAATTTAGAACAGTATGTTATCATGGAGCCCTGCACAGGCTGTGCTGACAAATAGCTACGTAGACAACCTATTCAGGTTGTAGTGAGATCCATCAACCCTGTCACATTCATAGTGGCAAATCAGTTGTTGTTTGTATCCGTAATCCAAGAAGGTGCTCAGCTTCATTAGTAGTGTTAGGGAATAAAGCAAAGTCGAGAGAGCAAGACCCTCGTGCAGTTCATAAGACTTTCTCAGAAAGCCATCGCTCCCTCACTCCCTCTTAAAGGCACCTCAGAGGAAGTCTAGGACCAGAGGCAGGTGGATCTGGGAGAGAAACACCGTTTGGGTTTTTGGAGTTATCTTATTTCTAAGATGCTGAGGCTGTGCTGGACAGCACAAAAAAGGACCCCTGGATGGTTAAGTCCAGTCAAAGGCGACTATGGGCTTGTGGCACTCATCTCGCTTCAGGCCAAGGGAGTCGGCGTTTGTCCACAGACAGCTTTCTGGGTCATGTGGCCAGCATGACTAAACCGCTTCTGGAGCAACGGAATACTGTGATGGAAACCAGAGCGCTCAGAAATGCCGTTTACCTTCCCACTGCAGTGGTACCTATTTATCTACTTGCACTGGTGTGCTTTTGAACTGCTAGGTTGGCAGAAGCTGGGACAGAGCAATGGGAGCTCACTCTGTTACAGGGATTCGAACCGCTGACCTTCTGATCATCAAGCCCAAGAAGCTCAGTGGTTTAGACCAGGCATAGGCAAACTCGGCCCTCCAGGTGTTTTGGGACTACAACTCACATCGTCCCTGACCACTGGTCCTGTTAGCTAAGGATGATGGGAGTTGTAGTCTCAAAACATCTGGAGGGCTGAGTTTGCCTATGCTTGATTTAGACCACAGTGCCACCCGCGTCCCTACAAGACAAGACATTGTATGGAAATATTGGATGTACATTTGATTTTTAAAATTCTGTTATGAAGAAAGTTCTGCTAGTAAAATTTGAATAATGTTTTCAGGGGTCTGGACAATTATTTATTCCAAAAGGAGTCCGTTTTTTATGCTTCCAGTAGCTTTAAACTGTGTAGTATTTAATATCTGCAACAGGAAAAACCCAAAAGGAGTCCAATGAGGACTGAGTATATTCAGCTGCCACAGAAGGCATAGTCTAAAACAGTATACAAACAAGGGAAGCTGTCTTAAACAGAGTCCAACCATTTGTCCACCTAGCTCAGTATTACCTGCACTGACTGACAGTGCTTCTCCAGGGTTTTCCTAGGGAATCTGTCTCAACCCTACCTGGATGTGCCGGGAATTTGGGACTTTCTGCATAGCAGGCAGGTGATTTTCTACTAAACTGCGGCCCTTCCCCTTCTTGGGACACTACTACCAAGACCAAAATGAGGACCACAAAAAGTGATCGTTAGAATGCAGAAAAGAGAGCAAAGTATGAATATACTCATACACAGAAAACAGCAATTATCATTCACAGACATGAATCTTGGGGGGGGGGGAGGTTGTGGGTGCGACAATATGGTGACCCTACAGAGAAAGCTGTGGGCATCAGTATATTTAGCTCTGTATTGTCTTAATTGGTTGACAGTGGCTCCCCAGGGTTTCAGGCAGGAGTCTTTCTCAATCCTACCTGAAGATGCTGGTGATTGCACTTTGAACCTTCTGCGTTCCAATTGTGTGCTCTATCCCTGAGCTATAGCTGAACCCAGCATGCAGAATCTGATGTTCAGATGGGACCCAGTGGGTGGATTCACTTCCTTTCCCTTAGCTGGAGCATCTTGATCTGACTTTCTGTTCATGTTAAGTTTCACTTTGAAAAAATGAAGGAGATGATAGATAGATGATAGATAGACAGATATACAGATACAGTATACTGATGATAGATAGATAGATAGATAGATAGATAGATAGATAGATAGATAGATGATAGATAGGAGGGAGAGATGATGATGATGATAGAGAGAGAGACAGACAGACAGACACAGAGAGAGATGATAGATATAGATAGATAGATAGATAGATAGATAGATAGATAGATAGATGGATAGATAGATAGACAGATAAATGATGGATACAGTAGATGATAAATGATATAGAATCATAGAATTAAACAGTTGGAAGGGACCCCAAGGGTCATCACTTCCAACTCCCTGCAATGCAGGAATCCTAGACAGACAGACAGATTTCAATTTGTAATTGGAATCACTCTGTCCAACCGACTTCTTTCACTCTGCAGTCCAGAAGGAAGAGAACTAAGATATAAATGTGGGAAGCATGGACTCGAGTCTCTCTGGACTCAGCAAGTCAATGTGCCTGCTTCCAAACTGCCACTACGGTATTTTGTGGGTTTCAATCATATACAGGCAAATTTAAGGTTCTGCAATTAAAGTGGGCTTTGTTTTTCTTGCACAACAAACCTCGAATTTTTGCGGCAAAGAACATGACAGCCGCTTGACATGATGCCCTTGAACTTTGCAGGCAACCCCAAATGAGTGCTCAGCAAACATTGGACATCATGGAAGCTCCACACAAACTTTGCAAAAACAACTCAAGGCGAATGTTCATCAGGCAGGTTGTCTGAAAAGGCCCCTCTAGGTCTCTGCATGCAAGACTTCTGAACCAGAATTTTTGGAATTTGCAGCCAGCCAACCAGCTCTGATGTTAGAGGGAGAAGGATTGTTCTTAATGCCAGTGAAATATTTGCCTCACCCACGGCGGTTAGTTCTGGGACCCTTCCTTTCCTGGAATGCTCACTGCGAGGGTCAAAATGTCTTGGACAGTTGCCTGACGGCTCTTTGGCATGGGCTGGAAGTTGGCATCTGAACAAATCTGTCAGCAGGTTTTCTTCAACACAAAGTAAGGAGATCGGCTTGGCAAGATGGGAAAGGAAAATAATGGCTCCTTTGAATTTGGCAGAGCTATTCTTCCACTGTCGACAGAACAGGCCTAGAATAAGCCAGGCCTGCAAAACTTGTGGCTTCCCACACTGAGTGCTGCCTATCAGGCATCTATGGGAGCCCAGAAGGAACTCAGTCCAATGTCTTCTGCTGTCTCTCCAGGATAGAAAGTACAGAGGGAGGAGGAATGTCATCAAGTACTTTGCAGGGCTTAGCGGTCCAGTGTGGTGTAGTGATCAGAGTGTTCGACTAGGACATGAGAGACCAGGGTTCAAATCCCAGTCAGCTCACTGGTTGATCTTGGCCATCACTTTCTTTTAGGCAGGACTACCTCAGAAGGTTGTCATGACGATGAAATGAAAAGCGAAAGAGCTATGTGCACTACCTTGAGCTATTTCGAAGGAAAGGTGAGATATAATATAAATCAATAAAACCTTTGGATGGCTGGAGCCCAAATTTGTATAGGCCCAGGGTAAAATAACTGGAGTAAAGTCACAGAATCACCGACTTGGGGACATCTAGTCCAGCCCCCTGCAATGCAGGAATCTTTCACCCAACGTGGGGCTCAAACCTACAACCGTGAGATTGAGACTCGTGCTGTACCAACTGAGCTATCCATCAACGCCCTGGATCAAGCCAAAGGCCCATCTAATCCAATGTCCCAATCTCCCAGTAGCCAGTGGTCACTGGTTCCCTTCTTCGGTGGCTGGCGAAATGGCAGCTAAATGGAAGTAGGTTGAGGGGAAGGTGTTTGTCCTCTTCTGCAGGGGGAGAGAAACAAGAGTTTGGCATTGGCCTTCGCAGGCAATCTTGGCTCCTAAATTCACTCAACTTTTATTGGTTCAAATGTGTAATTATGACGGTTTAATGGCAGAAGAGAGGCGGGTAATTAGAAGTGAGTCGTTCTGATCACCCTTGAACGCCGTGCCAGAGAGCTGCTCGGCTCTCCTGTCCTGAAGCCTTGTTTGCTTTGCCGAAAGCCAAAATCCCACAAGGTCTGGATGGAACCAGCTGTCTCGCTAACTAACTGCCAGCGCTTTTCCTGAATGGGAGCTATCATCCTCTCCGACATCCGCCTCCTCCCCAGGGCGCTCCTTCGCTGTCTTTCTCTGTGTGATTGCATTTATCTGTGGCTTGCAGGAACTGCTTCTAATCATACCGCTTCTTGCCTTTGAGGGTCAAATACAAGTCCATTGCTGCCGAGACAAATGCATCGGGGAGGTGGGCCGGTGCAAGGGAGGGGAGGGGCGGAGGGGAGAGACACAAACAGAAACTGTCACCTCTCCGTAAGACTGATAAGCATTTGGCAGGCAGGACACCGCAAACGAGAAAAGCAAACAGCCAGCAATCTGCAAGCGCCATAAATATGTTACAATCTCAGCTGGAAGATGGGCAATATATGCACCAAGAGGCCTTTGTTTAATGAGCTGTCAGAAAGCAGGCACAAAATTATGCTTGAAAACACAGGGAAGCTGCAGAGAACAGAGGCCTGGAAGGGCTCCCTTTGCCGGCGATGTGAATGTGCTGGAGTATCTTATCAGTCTGAGAATTGTCAAGTGAGGTAGGCTATCATTAGTAATCTAATAGCCTTTGGAAAGGGACCGATTTTTCCACCCCAGCTCCATTTTGTAACCTAAAATGAATGATGGGCAAAGCCAGGCCCTTATTTCTCCCCACAGGTTTTGCGATCGGGGGGCAGGGGGGGCAGGTTTGCTACCTAAACTGGAAGCAAATGAGACAAGTCATAAAAAGCATAAAACACTAAATCGGAAATTAAGCTGATGAGTTCCAATCCTAGAGCGCTCCTCTTCCTATTATCCTAATGGACTCTTCCAGTGACTTGGTAATTTTCAATCATGCCCATAACAAAGGTGCTACCCATAGGAGGAGAACGCGGAGACGTGAGCGCCTTTGTAATGGAGTGTGCAACACGCGGGTTGTAGATGTCTGTACAACCATGCAGGCTAAGCGATTGTGGGATTATAATGCAAGGACCAGGGTCACCATAGGGAGTATGATGTGATGTACAGGACAATGAGCCTTCAACAGCAAGGCAGCCATGCAGCACAAATTGCCAAAGACATTCCACAAAATGAGACAAAAGGTGTTCCAGTTTTTGTCATTTAAAGGGGCTACGGAGAGGGAGGCTATTTCCCCCACCCCCTTCTAGTTTCTTTCGTGTGATTTCTGATGTTTGATTTGTACGCTGGTTTACATGGAATAACTCATCAGTCCTGCTTTTCAGGAATTTTCTTGGGGAAAGTTGGCATCTTATCCCTGCCTTCCCAACCTGGCAGGATGCTGCCATCAAAGAGAATGGCTGACAGGTCTGTGACAATTGTATCTCTCCTGGGATCAGGAATAGTCATTGTAAAAATGGAGCCTGACACCTTAAATGATCAAATATAAGAAGCTGCACATTTTCTCTCTTTGGTCTTTATTTTTTTGTAAATAAAGTTTATTCTAGAAAGTATATGCACAATCAATATACCATCCTTTACAAAAACACAAAATAAGAATTCCACTGCTGTGACTTCCCTCCACCTCAACTTGACATCTTTTGATATTCTATACTCTTATTTACATTGTGTTTTTTATATTATTTGATATTCAGCTATTATTAATTATGTCGTGATCCAGTTCAGCTTTACATACTTCATCTATACATATCAACAGATTTTCTTTGGAACAGTGTTTTCTCATATAATCCTCAAAACATTGCCATTCCTTCCTTAATTTCTGGTTTGACTGGTGCCTTATGGCTGCCGTTAATTTAGCCAATTCTATAAATTCACATAGTTTACCTAACCAATCTTCTTTAGTGGGGATGATGCCCCATTTCCAGTTTTTAGCAAGTAATAATTTGGCTGTGGCATATAAAAATAGCCTTTCCTTATCTTTGGTCTTTATTTGTATTAGGCTATTTGGAAAGTTACCTAAGACAAAAGCCACTTGTGCAATGAGGATTTCCCGATTCCCTCCATTACATGCTTCCTTTACAACAGTGTGTTCTCCCCACCCACATAATTTTTTGAATTTTTCTGTGTAGAAACATTTTTGTTTCATATAAAATGTGTTTATCCCACACGTTGGTTGAAAGGCCGTCACAGTGGCTCACAACTCAGAGGGAAACAATCGACAATATGCGTTCAGTAATGGGAGGGAAGAGAAAAGGGGCAGGGTCACAAAATACAGCAGACATATAAAACAAAGGGGAGGAGGACTTAAGCAAATCTTAATCTTAACAGCCTATCTTAATACCAATTATAAGGGTCCGAGTGCGCCTCTCTTGGGGGAACCCTCTTGGTAGTTCCACTTCCCTCAGAAGTTTTGGGGTGGCAGCCTGTGAGGGAGAAGGCATTCTCTGTGGCAGCTCTGAAATTGTTGAATTTCTTTCCCACAGAGGTGTGTCTGGCTTGTTCACTAGTGTTTTCAGTGTTTTAATTCCTTTTAATTAAAACTAGTGTTTTAATTCCAAATTTTAAATTGTTTTAACCTGCCCTGGTACCAGCTGGTGATTGGATAATAATAATAATAATAATAATAATAATAATAATAATATGATACCTAGCTATATATTTGCTCACAATGAAAACCAGTGCTTTTTTTCTTTAAAAAAATGTTTAGGGGTACTCTCATTTTCCTACTCATATTGAAATATTGTCCCTCAATGAGGCCAAACTTAGATTCACAAAATATTTAGGGGTATGTGTACCCCTGCGTCCACCCAGGGGAAAAAAGCCCTGATGAAGACAATGCAGTGTCTGTTTCTATTCTTTTTCTAGGTCAGCTGATGTAAGTGCCAGCAACTCAAGGGCTATGAATAAGAAATCGGAAGCCCTTGATTTGACCTGTGGGCTTGAAGATTTTGCGAGACTCAGCCGCCTCAGAGAGTGGAGGGTTGTACACCTGGGACCTTGCTGTTTGAATGATTCCTTTCAACATTTCCATAAAGAGAGAGAAAGCAGCGAGCAAATGGTATATTTTGTGTGACAGTTAGCAATGGGGTGGATCACAGACGGTTCAGGGCGATTGGAAGTCGTGTTTATGTTTTTTCTTCCTCAACTTTGCAAGAACAGTTATTACGCGGTATTCCCCAGGAAGCTTAATATAAATGAGCTATATTTGTGGCATGTGGAATAGATAAGGATCACCTGACCTTCCCTATATGGAGAAAGCAGCTGAGCACATTGTTGCACCACAGCTTAAGGCACTTTGAGATTATAGAAACTTTCCTGATTCATTCTCATTTGCTTTTAGGCAAAGTTTTGAGACTGGGACTTCTCTAATGGTTCCACCTAGTTGGATGGCCACTCAAGCGTCACCAGAAGAGAGGACAAAAAAGGGATGCTGATTTGCATAAAGGATGCATATGCTAAAATATGTGTACAGTGGTACCTCGGGTTAAGTACTTAATTTGTTCCGGAGGTCCGTTCTTAACCTGAAACTGTTCTTAACCTGAAGCACCGCTTTAGCTAATGGGGCCTCCTGCTGCCGCCGCGCTGCCAGGGCATGATTTATGTTCTCATCCTGAAGCAAAGTTCTTAACCTGAAGCACTATTTCTGGGTTAGCGGAGTCTGTAACCTGAAGCGTATGTAACCTGAAGCATATGTAACCTGAGGTACCACTGTACACTGCTGAAAGGAATCATTCAAACATATAGCTGCACGTGAACACACACACATGTACAGGTGATAGTTAGAAATGATCACTCTAGAATCATAGAATTATAAAACTGCAGGCTATAATTTCAATAGAGAGAGAGTACAGTGGAGAATTTGGAGGCTGGTCTGTGGTCCCTGGATCAGGCCCATTCACCCTGCGATGCCCCTGGGGACAACCTACCCCCACCCTGGATCAGTTCCTGAAGAAATTTGGTGGGTTAGGCGAATGGTTTTTTTAAAAAACAACAACCTAGGTTTAATAGTACAGTCAGTCAGTTCGAATTCCCACAACAAGGTGAGCTCCCGTTGCTCTGTCCCAGCTCCTGAAAACCTAGCAGTTTGAAAGCACCAGTGCAAGTAGATAAATAGGTACCGCTGCAGCGGGAAGGTAAATGGCATTTCCATGCACTTTGGTTTCCATCATGGTGTCCCATTGTGCCAGAAGTGGTTTAGTCATGCTGGGCACATGACCCGGAAAGCTGTCTGTGGACAAACACCGGCTCCCTTGGCCTGAAAAGCGAGATGAGCGCCGCAACACCATAGCCGCCTTTGTCTGGACTTAACCGTCCAGGGCTCCTTTACCTTTTTTACCTTACATACCATCCTTTATCAAAAGATCCTAGGGTGGTGATCTTGTTTGGTGCTGCACCAGGGATAATTTTATATTCCCCTGTATCAAGCCTTCCCTTCCTTGTCCTTCCCTCCCCAAAAAACTAAGAAATCCCCCACCAAATATCACAAATGCAAAATGACATTTCCCTTAACCACCATCCCAATTACAGTGTCCTGCTTAGCGACTCTCAATGTCGGCAGGATGCAAAATTAGACCAATTTTAGTCACGTCGTCTGATCCTAGTGCATATTTACTTGGATGCAGTACAGTGGGGTTTGGAATAGCCTAAGAAAAATACTTGTCTAGTAATGTAATGATGAGCACAGTGTGGTCCACATCCAGACCACATGCCTGTGGAAACGATTGCATGTCAAGTCTGCTAAATTAACAGTGAAATTGTTAACATCAGGGATGAGGGACCGGTGGCCTTCCAGGTGTTTTTGGACTCCAACTCTCATCAGCCCCAGCCAGCACAGCCAATGGGCAGGTCGCTGTCCAACAACATCTGCAAGGCCCCACCGTTCCCCATCCAATTTAGCCACGTGTCAAACTCTCTACTAGAATTTGACGTGGCTAATTTGGATGGGGAACGGTGGGGCCTTGCAGATGTTGTTGGACAGTGACCTTAAGAAAGCAGACAGCAAAATATAAAAGTATCAGCAGAAGAACAGCAAGAAGAAGAAAGGAAAATGGCTGCATGACCAGCCCTTTTACGGGGTCTCCAGGGTCACGCCCACCTAACTGGTCACACGCAGGGGGAGGAAGCTTCAGACCAGGTGTGACAGGAAGTCCTCCTGGCTGGGGTAACACCCCGCCCCCTGCATGTCCACTCTAGGCAAACAGGAAGTGTTGTACTTAACTGCTTATGTTACATCCCACGGGATCTTCAATGACTGGTTCATACATGACATGCTGTCAGGGAACTGACATCGGAGCCAGAGGTGGAGGCTAGGCTCCCAAGTGATGCTGGAGAAGGGCCCAGCAGGGAGAGAGGCAGCTCATCAGCTGGGGAAGGAAATCAGCGTAACACCAGGGATAAAGGGGGGCAGATGGGGGAATCGGCGAGGGGGCTCCAGGACTCCTCGCCGGAGACCAGTGGGGAGAGCACGGGTCCTCCGCTACCCACACCCTCCCTGCGCAGAAGACTTCCGCGCAGGGAGAGTAGGAGGAGACTTGGCATCAAACAGCTTTTATGCTGGAAAAGGTTTAAGAGACGCCCACTGACAGATTCTGCTAGCGACTGAAACAGCCACAAAGTGAAGGGCTGTCCAGACAGGAAAGGTTTAACCAGGCAACCTAGCCAGGAGTAGCGGCAACTTACGCACGAGCAACCCCTATTATTATTACACATGCATATACAATACATTACTTGATGACATATTGCTCAGTGACACTTGGATGAGCGTTCAAATGGCTTTCAGTGAAAAGTGAAGCGGCTGAGGTGATTTTAAGCGGATATGAAAACTGCAGGGTTTTTGGTCCATAATGGTCATTCACACTTTGCCTTCATGCTGAGAAGGTAACTCAACAGGTTTATGTCTGACACCAGCTGGAAAAAAATCAAGAATCTACTGTCATTCTTCTCTACTATTTCCCATAAGAATCTGCCCCATTTGGTAAACTCTACCAAATTGGCCGGCTCCCTTGGCCAATAAAGCGAGATGAGCACCGCAACCCCAGAGTCAGCCATGACTGGACCTAATGGTCAGGGGTCCCTTTACCTTTGCCTTTACCACAAATGTTTAGCCTGTCCAAAGCAGACTCACAACTTTCTAAAAAAATGAAATGAAATGAAAAATCACATATTTTCTGGTTTTGAAAAGCCCTCTTCAAGAGAATGGAGTGCCACATCGCTTTCGATTTTGCCCTCCCAGGAACCTAGCAACAGAGGGTGCAATAAATAACAGGGCCGAGGAAACTCTTAATGTTGAGCAAAAAGAATTTGGGGGGAGGGGGAGAGCATACACACAGAATGAAGAAAATGTACCAAAAAAATTTATTGCCGCTAAGCATCTGTTTTTGTCTGCATCCTTTTGAGAACATATTAACAGCCTTTGCTCATCTCCATATGGCTCATTGTGAGGATAATCATTAATATGAAGGAATGTGTTTGTAAGCCTCCTTCCCTAGTAATGAGTATGTATGTTTGTTCTACCTCAGAAAAATGGAAGGACTGGATTTTGATAATGTGCTTACTGCATGATAAATAGTTGCAGAAGGAGGGGTATTTTTTAAAAAGAGTAGTCCTCAAAGACAGTAGCCCAGAGCCCAATATCTCATATATTATCTCTTTATTTCAGGATTTGGATGACACCTTTCAGGGCAAGCACTCCCAAGGCAGTGAGCATCAAAATAAAATCATGGCAAAATGCTATGAAGCTCGTCACACGGCTACTGAAAAACCACTACCCAGACTGAAATACATCCATACAGTAAAACATTAAAACACCACAGATCGCCACACATTCCAATTAAAAGCACCTTTAAATAAGATGGTCTTCAGAGTGTGTTTCCCATCATCCTTGGCCATTGGCCCTGCTGTATGGAGCTGATGGGACTTGGAGTTCGGAGGACCCTCTGGTATAGGTGTTGCATTGACACACACACACACCAGTTTGGGGAGGACAAATTGGGGCACCCACCATCCTGCTGCTCCCATCACTTGCCCCCTCACCAGCTCCTCTCTCGTCTACTTTCTTGCTTGCTCATCGCTGCCTGCTCACTAGCCTCCTGGGCCCCTCTATTGCTCCCTGCCTTGTATCTTTGTCCAAAGCCTCTTCCTCCTCCTCTGTGGCCTTGGGAGAAGCCATACCGGCCTGCACAGCCTCCTCTTTCGGTGCTGCAGGTGAACTTCCGGAAGCCAGCCAGCTTCCAGAAGCACCGTGAAAGGAAGGAGGAAGAAGAAGAGCGGTGAAGCCTCAGGCCAAGGCAGAAATTGCTTCCCTTCCCCCAACCCCACCCCTCGCACTCTGGTGTGAGCCAACTGACAGCTAGAGCACGGGAGCCAAAATGGGACAGTTGTGTGATATGCACACACGTGTGTGTGTGTGTGTGTGTGTGTGAGAGAGAGAGAGAGAGAGAGAGAGAGAGAGAGAGAGTGCTCGCATATGTGTTATGACAGTATTCACTGATACAGAGTGTGAGCACCTATTCTTTTGCTACTGGTAGGACACGGGTGGCGCTTTGGTCTAAACCACAGAGCCTCTTGGGCTTGCTGATCAGAAGGTCGGTGGTTCGAATCCCCGCAATGGGGTGAGCTCCTGTTGCTCTGTCCCAGCTCCTGCCAACCTAGCAGTTCGAAAGCACACCAGTGCAAGTAGATAAATAGGTACTGCTGTGGCAAGAAGGCGTTTCTGTACACTCTGGTTTCCATCTTGGTGTTCTGTTGTGCCAGAAGCAGTTTAGTCATGCTGGCCACAAGACCCGGAAAGCTGTCTGCAGACAAACATTGGCTCCCCCGGCCTGAAAGTGAGATGAGCGCCACAACCTCATAGTTGCCTTTGACTGGACTTAACTGTCCAGGGGTCCTTTACCTTTTACCTTTTGCTATCCATAACACCCATTTTGTGCTGGCACCCATAACACTTTTATCAGTTTAGGAGTACTGGCTTCTCACTTTTATTTTTATTTTACATATATTTCACTACCTGACCTCTGGGAGCATCCGAGCAACTATATTCTGTACCAGCTAAAGTTTCTGAGCTGTTTCTAATAGCTGCCCCACATAGAACACTTTTAATAGTCTGTGTGGAGTGCATAATACAAACACTTGTTCCTAACAGCCATTTTTCAACAAAGGTAGATGCTCCCCGTATGCTTAATAAAACCACTGTTTGAAACCCAGTAATGAATTTGTATTATTTTTTAACAATGGGAAAATTAAATGCTAGTGCCAGAAACAGAATGAAAGTGACCTTTATTTTTATGAAGGAGTTTAGCAGGTGGGAGGCTGGTAAATGAAGAAAAGGCAATATATCTGCAAATCCAGCTTTGCTTGGGGAAATCTGCTTCTCAATAAATACAAAAATCTGCTCTCAATTTAAGATGAAATGTCCAGACTGGGGGTGAATAGTCATACAGTTTCTGGAGCCTGCATCTGATACAATGAAATATTCTAAGAAATTTTTTTGGTGCCCAGTTTAATAGTTAATACAGAAAAAGATCTACCATGGGGAGAAAGTAAATTAACAGAGTTATAGGTCCTAATAATTAAGTTGCGTGGCAAGTCCCCCTCCCCCCTTGGGAAATAAAGACAAAGGACACGGTATTTAAGGTTAATGGGCGAAAATGGCCACAACTTTATTGATTGCAGGAATTGAGCAGTATTGGCTTAGGCATTGGTCCTATCAGCTAACCGGCTTCAGCCCGATTGCATGAAGACCAGTGAGGGTTAACCACCAGTAGGGGGAGTCCTGCTGATGTACATCAACTAGGATCTCCCCCGGGGTCACCCCTCGGGGGCGTGCCTTAGGCCCACACCTCCATAGGCTTCGGACAGGGCAACGCCCCCCGGAATCCTTTACCGGACTACCCTTTGCTTTGGGGGAAGGTGATGGCACTTCCTTCCCTCCCCCATTTGCATAACAATACCCCTACCAATGCCTAACCGCCAATCGAGCAAAAGCTCGCCGCCAATACCCTCAAACCTTCGACCAATTCCTAACCCCCCCAGCAATGTCATCCAACCAAATGTCATTTCCAGCATCCGAAAGATGCATGCCATCACTTCTGTAGAGGGCCTCTTTGCTGAACTGGATGTCGGGGTGGCCAATAACACGCCCCCGAGCCGCCACTCTATGCGCCACAGCCCGCTCCAAGATTTTTCTCGCTTTATTCATTGCGATCAGGCACCGACAATCCCTCCAAACCCGACTTTCTAGCAGCGAAGACCAACACAGAAAAAGATCTACCATGGGGAGAAAGTAAACTAACAGAGTTACAGGTCCTAATAATTAAATTATATTAACCTACTTCATATATAACATTGGTGCTTTTTCTGCTGCAGAAGGGCATTTGTGGAATGAATGACCTGTTTGCTATTTTTGTGATAACAGCAGCCCCTTCAGCCAAGGGCGATACCTGTAGTTTCCAGATTTTTGCACATGGATGGCATTATGGATTGGGTCCCATGGATGCTCTAGAATACTGCGGCGTAGGAGGTTATCACATCCTTTGTGCCTTTGCTGGGGCTAATGTAACAATTGGAGGGAACAACGAGCGAGCATTTCTCAAATACTGGCTTCTCAGAGTTCCATGTGAAGAGGGATTGGTTGTTAAACCACTGTGGGAATTGTAGCTCTGGGAGAGGAACAGAGGAGTCCTCTTAGCACCCTTAGCAAACTGCAGCTCCCAGAATTCTTTGGGGAAAGCCATGACAAATTAAAGGGGCATCACAGCGCTTCAAATGTATGGTTTGAATGTGGCCAGAGTAGTTTCAAATCAACAGTGGAAACCCAAATCCCACCTACACAGCAGTGAGTCCCACTGAGTCCAGCGGAGCTCACTTTCACATACACGGAGGTTAGGATTGCAGCCTAAGTCCTTCATTTCTTCCTCTGACCCCTAGCCTCCCCAGCTAGATCTTGTGCTGACTGTTGAAAAACCAGCCATTAACAACCAGGAAATGACTTTGCCATCAATCAGAATATTGCTCAACCGTGTTTCAGCTTTTCCCCTCTCTCTTCCTTTGCATAATTATTCTTATTCTCTGCTGATTGCAGTCTAAAATAGCCATAATTCTCTCAAAATAATTTGCCGCATTACTTAAAACCACGGGGTTACTGTAAAAACGATGAAGACAGATAGCTGATGGCTGATGTACAGAGCCCCCCATTTTGGCCACCGTGTGTCTATCGACCTTCTGTTAGCAAGAGACACGAGAGGCTTTCATCAGGTCAGCGGCCGTTTCCACGGTTTCCCCTTATAGATGATAAACTGAAGTGTTGAGTCCTTAAGAGGAGGGAGCCACCCCATTTTCTATTTTTTCTTTCAAAAGTAAAATTGCAAATATTTGTATAACCTGCAATCTGAAATATTAACCTCCCAGAATATAATTCCGGCAACAGTTACTGATGTGTGTGCATGTTGTTTTACTTGACTGTTATTGTATGCTCAGTTAGACACCCAGGCCCCATTCAGTTCAATGGAGAGGGATAGCCCTCTCCTGAAGTGAATGGGGATGCCCTTGGGGCTGGAGCTCCAATAGCTTATTGTATTTTAGTGTTTTGTTGGAAGCCGCCCAGAGTGGCTGGGGAAACCCAGCCAGATGGGCGGGGTATAAATAATAAATTATTTATTATTATTATAAGCACATCCTCTGCATGACAAGATCAGCCATGTGAAATCAGCAGGAGCTCCATGCACCAATAGCAACATGGAAAGGTCCATGTGGTTAGTGGAGGCTGGTCCATTAGGTAAGCTAAAGGTAAAGGACCCCCCTGGACGGTTAAGCCCAGTCAAAGGTGACAATGGGGTCGTGGCGCTCATCTCGCTTTCAGGCCGAGGGAGCCAGCGTTTGTCCACAGACAGCTTTCCGGGTCATGTGGCCAGCATGACTAAACTGCTTCTGGCACAACGGAACACTATGATGAAAACCAGAGTGCACAGAAACGCCATTTACCTTCCTGCCGGAGTGGTATCTATTTATCTACTTGCACTGGTATGCTTTCGAACTACTAGGTTGGCAGGAGCTGGGACAGAACAACGGGAGCTCACCCAAACGCAGGGATTCGAACAGCCGACCTTCTGATCAGCAAGCCCAAGAGGCTCAGTGGTTTAGACCACAGCGCCACCCGTGTCCATTTAGGACGAATGGGGCAATGAACCACCAATCTCAATCTGCCTCCAGTCAACACCCACCTACCTGCTTTCCTACTTGCAACCAGAGGGTGTGTCTGCCTATCAGCTTCCTTCTCCTCCTCTCATGCTGTCCTTGTAGAACTCTGCAGGCAGAAGGATGGAGAGGGGAACTAGACTCCATTGGCTCTGCCTGCCTTTGGCTCTGGCTGCACTTACTGTTGACACCTCTGTCTTCCAACCCAGCAGTTCCAATGCACGCCAGCCAGTTTTGTAGATCATGAGCATATGAGCCACAGCCCCAATTGCTTGGAATAATTGGGGTTTTTCTGGAGATTCAGCACCCAGTATTTCAGACTATCAGAAGGCAGTAGGAATAGCCTGAGGAGAAATCAGGTTAAGTTCTAATTTGAAAATGAATTTCAAAAATGTGTACATTACCAAGGGAAATTTTTCAACGATGTTAGGTGTGATTGTGAATTGTGATCATGGACATGTCACAAGCCAAAGGGATTTTAAGAATGGCCTGTTAATTGCTATAGCATACACTTTTACCTGGGAGTAAGTCCCACTAAACCCATAAGGCTTATTTCTGAGTAGATGTGTATAGAATTGCAGAGTAAATGCAAGCTAATGTAAATTAAATGGAATTCTGCACGTCATCTTGTAATGTTTACATGAAAGGGGGTACAGAAACAGTATTACATAGATAAATTCCTTCAAGGGAAACAAAATTACACTTTTGGAGTCCACTCATTGCCCACAACCTCAACTTTTGATTATTATTTTTTTTAAATGGCTTTGGACCGAAGCAGATAATATTTGCTTTAACTCCACTGAAGAAGATAAAGTCTTTCAAATTATAGGCATATAGGTCCAAGGTTTTTTCATGCTAGGCACCATTAACTGTTTTTATTTATTTTCAAGGAGACATCTATAACTTTTTTTTTTAAAAAAAAGCAATATAATTTTGCAGTCAGTGTTGCCCCTTTTTAGGGCATGTATCCAGCCAAATTTCAGAAGGATAACTGCAGTACTATTCCTGCAAGGTCAACCATTAAAGTTTTAGGTTGGATGCAAAAGGAATCATATAAGCACCTCTTGTGTTGTTTTGTGGAAATGTGGTCTGAAAATCACAGGCCTGGGAGAGTTTCCTCTGGATAAGAAACCTGCTAAACTGGATATAAATAGATTCCGGGGCATCTGTGCTAAGGACCTTTTGATTTGGGGGTTGAAAGAGCTGAAAGTGATTCACTTTCTGGGTAAAATCATTCCCCTGATGACAAGCTTGATCCACTAATCACAGCAGAACTCTCCCTCTCCCTTATCCTGACTCTCGGGCTTGCGCCCTCTTCCCCAAGCAGCCTTCCTTGGCATTCTGGTAAACTTAGAGGTATCGCCTTTGCTTTCAGTGGATGCTTGTCTGGAGCATTTTTTAATATTCTGGATTGCCGAGGCACCACAAACAGCTTCATGGGCCTCCTCTTCAACTTGTGCTACCTCCTGGAAATCCAGGATGTCTTACCTTGTTTTAATTTGTTGGAAACTGCCTGGAGTGGCTGGGCAGCATAAAAATAAGTTGTTGTTGTTACCCCACTTTGTGTCTGACATGACCATAATCTCTCCAAGGCACCTGACTTCACCTCAGGATTCAAGATTAATGCAAATGTAATAATTATAACAACAACAACAATTACAATTTTATTTGTATGCCTCCCATCTGACTGGGTTGCCCCAGCTACTCTGAGCAGCTCCCAACAGAATATTATAAACACAATCAAACATCAAACCTTAAAAACTTCCCTACGGCACTCTTAACGTATATCTCCTCAACAGACTTAGCTAAATGAACAACAATTTTACAGAACAGTGATATGAGCACCTGATAGTGTGAGCAGGCAGAAATTTCGCTCCAGTTCTATGCACAGCAAAATTGTTTAAATGCACCTGCTTAACATCCTATTATAGGAAACCATAAACATGGGTGGTGTATTGCTGAGCATTCCGTGGCTGGTATTGCCAATGTATCATTCCGCACAGAGTCAAAG